GCAGGATCTGGAAGGATAAGCACTTGTTAAAGTTAGTATAGTTCTTGAGCGCCTCAGATGACAGTGTGACATTTTGGGGTTCACCCAGGCCAATAAGGGGTTCTGTCACAATCTGCTTTGTAACCTTGTGTGTCTAGTGGCTGGCAGATTGTTGGAGTCAGAGCGCTGGACCAAAGCTACGTGGCCACAAGACACCCATAACACTCTAACCCTGCCCCCTCTAGCCCCTGAAATGCCTCCTTCCACCTTCTATGCCAGAGAGGGTAGTTCAGAGCAAGCTACACTGGCTTTCCCTCAGCGGAAGATACTCGCATGACAGGGAATTCTTTGGGCTTTATTAAAGTCCCTGTGTTTTTCCTCAAGTGGTGCAGTGCATTCCAGCTCCTGAAATGCCTTTTCTTACCATAATCTTAAATCAGGACTATCATCTAAGTTTCATACAGATGTTATACCAGGAAGGAAGACTTACACTGCATATCCCAGATCCAGGGAGCCCACATACTTATTTCATTTTCATACCAGAAGCAGAGTTGAAGTGTCTGCAGTATTTCACAAGTCAACCATATTCACACTATTGAAGGATTTTGCATCTGTCATGAGTTATGCAGTGAGAGTCATCACCCCCTAAAGATACACTTTTACTTCCACTTACTGGCTAGTGATGTGGTTAATATTCCAACCAACCATCCATCATAATAAACAGAATTATGATAAATATTCTCATCCATTACATTATTGGCCAGTGTTTTTTGATACTACTTGACTGGTTCTAGTTTTGACTTGGCTCCCTTTGTGATTATATGTCTACAATGAGAGAGTTATTATTCCAAGGATAAGACTGCAGTCCTTTCTCAGGTAATATTTCCATTTAGTGAAAATCCATGAGAGTTATTCCTGAGTAGAGGTTTGCTAAGGAGAGCATGATGTGGCCCAAAGAATGGCAGCTATTTTTCTGTTAATTAAGATATCTTTAAGAGATACTTTTTTCTTCTAATCAATATTTCTATTTTAATTTTTTTCAAAACTGTAATGATGGGGTGAGTAAATGTTCTATTTCAAATTAAACAAACATACAAGAACAAACCAAATACATTCTGTAAGAGCTACACTTTCATGAGGCAAGAGAGGTAGGCTTGTTTTTGTAGATTCACTAGCTCTTTATTTACTGATACTTGTATCATTGGTGAAACATGGAATTTTACTGCAGAATGATAACCGTCAATATGCTATATATATCATTAGGATTTTTTAAAGTATGAGTTTTTCTGTGGACAGTGCACAGCTGTACACAGGCTAAAATGTGCACAACCATTGTACAACTGTAGTAAAGCATTTTCATTTGTGATCTTTGATATGGAACCGTTATGAATGGATAAAGTCTCAGAGCCTGTTTTTTTCCCCCCTTAGGTTATCAATTCAGGGGCAAAGTTAAGGTTATTTGGTGCCCTTAACATAGCATTTCCATATTTTCAAATGTTTGTTGAAATTTAGTTTTAAATATGAAGTTCCTTGGTTTCCAATGTTTGCTTTTTTGACTACAATATTATGGTAAGGTTTCTCTTTTCCCAAAACCAATAGGTATTCTCAGCATTAACACCAACCTAATAAAGTCTATTGTCTGTGAATTCCTTTACGGTTTGTTTTTGTCGTTTGGTTTTGTTTTAAATTGGAATGCTTTACTTTGCCACATGCAGGTGAGAGCAGAAGACAGATTCTTCACTCCTTTTGGATCCCCTCCACTGGACCAGAGGAGCATCATGATGCAGCAAGTGGAGAAGGGAAGAGAGTTCTTCCTGGGACTCCTTTCTCCTCCTTACTATACTGAGGAGTCTTGTAAGGCTCTTCAAATTCAGTACCTGATGAACTTAATGAGGCTTGTCAGCCCTATGAAGGCTGTGTTTTGCTCTCCAGACCTCACCTTCCCCTTCCTGCCACCTGCCCCTCTTTCCCTTCATTCTCCTCCTTCTCCCAGGGTTGCCTCTACAGTGCCTACGTCCAACCTTCTCCCCTCTTCAGCCCCCATTGTCTCCAGACTTCCACAATTACAACAGATAGCAACAAACAACTAAGGATCATGCACTATTCTCAGTGCTCAAATTTGCAGCCCTCCACTTCCACAACCAAGCAGTCCTGTGCTGGCAACTCACCCATCCTGCACTAGGGACAATGCGGGGCTTCCCTTACAATGATTCCTCCCAGCCAGTGGGGACCACTGTGGTGCCAGAATTGAAGGCAGCCGGGTGGGTATTTTATATCCCCTTTGCCTGCTTTCTGCTCCACGTTTGCTTTGGTGCCACCATGGGGGAGAAGGGAATCAGAGGTGGTCTGCTGCCTCAGTACCCCACTGTCTGGAGAGGTGAGGGTCTAATGGAGGGGGTGTGCAGGATAAGGAACTAGTGGGCAGGATAAGGAAGGGACTAATGAGGTGGACGGGGCTAATGGAAGGGACAGGGGTTGACTAATAGGAGGAGATGGGCCATGGTTTGAACGGGCTGACAGAAGGGGATTGGCTACATGGAGGGGGGCTACTAGGGAGCAGAGGTAAAATGGAGTTGGCTCCATTCCCTCCTGGGATCCTTGGCCACCCTCTCCCCCAGATGACTCCATTTTAATCTCCAATACAGCAACCAGTCCAGTATCTCTCCAATAACCCGCAAACTCCCTCTCACCCAGTAACCTGTCAATGATCCTTTGGTTGCCCCCAGCTTCCCTCAAGCTGCCTGTGGTTCCTCAAAACTTCCTTTCACACCTGCTCCTGATGCTCAGGGAAATCAGTGATTGCTGTCATCAGTAAAATAAATGTTATATGGAGCTTCACAAACTCCAGGTTGCTGGGTGAGTCACTGTTCCCCCTCCCTCTATAAGCCCTCTATAAGCAGATGGCTGAACAAACAATGAGGCTTCTACCCAAAATAAGGCTGATTAGAGAGACAAGGTGGGTGAGTGAGGTAACAGCTTTTGATGAAGTGAGCTGTAGCTCACGAAAGCTCATGCTCAAATAAATTGGTTAGTCTCTAAGGTGCCACAAGTACTCCTTTTCTTTTTGCGAATACAGACTAACACGGCTGTTACTCTGAAACCAGCTTTTACTACATCAACTTCTGTTGGTCAGAGACAATTTTTGAAACTTAGGCCTTGTCTACACTGCCCCTTACAGCGCTGAAACTTTCTTCGCTCAGGGGTGTGAATAACCTCCCCCCCCCCGGGGTGATGCAAGTTTCAGCACTTTAAAGTGGCCGTGTAGACAGTGCACCAGTGCTGGGAGCTAGTCCCCTCACAAAGGTGGTTTTATTACAGTGTGGAGAAAGCTCTCAGCACTCTGCTGGAACTACACAGCCATGTTGAAGCACTGCCATGGCAGCGCTTTAACATCGGCTGTGTAGACATACCCTTACACAGAGCTCTTCTTCAGGTCTGGGTCTTTGCTGACTAAGGACAACTGACTGTGAGTGGGTTGTGACATATTCAAAGGACATATAGTTTCACACCTCAAGGTGGGAAACTAAGGCAAAGTACAGTGCCCAGTGTACTGTGGGCAGGTGTTTGCCATGGCTACATGCTTTTGAATCATGGTGGTGGTGTTTTCCCAAATTAATGCTGGGTTTGTAAGTGGGGAAGTACTGCTTCTTAGAGGTATTGCCCAGGGTAGTGTTTAGTTTTCCCAGATTACTGGGTGGAGGCTGAAGCCAGTTCAGTTTTCTATTAAGACGATCCCCTAGATATTGAACCTGGCCTTTGTTGCTGCCAATGCCATCTGAAACAAGGGTTACATTTCCCCAGACCTGAAGAAGAGCTCTGTGTAAGGTCAAAAGCTTGTCACTTTGATCCAATGAAAGATATTACCTCACCCATCTTGTCTCTCTAATATCCTGGGACCAACATGGGTACAACAACATTGCATACAAAATAAGGCTCACAATGCAGTTAGTGACTGATCCCCAGGTATATGGAGCCACTGCGTAGGATGGGGCCTAATGTGGTATTTGATCCAGATACATCCAAGAACTACAAGACTGAGGGTGCACAGTGTGAGGTTTGATTCCCAGTCCATGGGAGCCTCTGCCCAGCACAGGGCTGTACCGTGTGGGGGGTTTGATCCCCAGTCTATGGGAGCCTCTGCCGAGCACAGGCCTCTATGATGTGTGGGGGTTTGATCCCAAGTCCATGGGAGCGTCTTCCCAGCACGGGGCTGTATGGTGTGTGTGTGGGGGGGGATGGGGGGTGTTGATCTCTGGCCCATGGGATCCTCCGCCCAACAAGGGGCTGTACAGTGTGTGTGTGTGTAGGGTTGATCCCCAGTCCATGGGATCCTCCGCCCAGCACGGGGTTATACAGTGTGTGTGTGTAGGGTTGATCCCCAGTCCATGGGATCCTCCGCCCAGCACGGGGCTGTACAGTGTGTGTGTGTGTGTGTGTGTGTGTAGGGTTGATCCCCAGTCCATGGGATCCTCCGCCCAGCACGGGGCTGTACAGTGTGTGTGTGTGTGTGTGTAGGGTTGATCCCCAGTCCATGGGATCCTCCGCCCAGCACGGGGCTGTACAGTGTGTGTGTGTAGGGTCGATCCCCAGTCCATGGGATCCTCCGCCCAGCACGGGGCTGTACAGTGTGTGTGTGTAGGGTCGATCCCCAGTCCATGGGATCCTCCGCCCAGCACGGGGCTGTACAGTGTGTGTGTAGGGTTGATCCCCAGTCCATGGGATCCTCCGCCCAGCACGGGGCTGTACAGTGTGTGTGTGTGTGTAGGGTTGATCCCCAGTGTAGGACAGGTGCTGGCTGCCGCCAGGGTCATGCTCATAGCGCCGCGTCGGTGCCATTGCGGGAAGGGGGCTCTGCCCCCCGGGGACTCCGAGTTCTTCGCTGCGGGGCTCCCGGCGGCAGCGGCCTGCCCTGCTCGGAGCGGCGGGGGATGGGGGCCGGCCCAGCGCGGCCTCCGCCGCCCCGGGGAGAGAGCTGCGGGAGGGGCGGGCCGGGAGGCGGAGCGGGCCCCGGATGCACTTGCCCCGGCGCTGCGAGGCCGGCTCCCAGTTCCTGTGCGTGCCCTTAACCTTGCGGGGCTGCCACTGGTGCCTCCTGGCGCGGCCGGGACCTGCGGAGCGCGCGTGGCCCGGAGGGGATCATGTCTCTGGTGGCGGAAGCGTTTGTGACTCAAATAGCAGGTAATGGGCGGGCAGGAGAGGGCGGCGTGGTGGACGGGGCGGGGGAGTAGGAGAGAGTCGGAGGAGAGGGATACGGGGTGGCAGAGGGGGGGTGGGTGCGTGGGGTGGGGGCTGGAGCGGGCCGGGGGCAGGCAGGGCTCAGAGCGGGGCCTGGGACTAGCAAGGGGGGAGGGAGCGGGGTGCAAAAGCCAGTGGGCCCGGCCCAGCTCCCCATACCCAGAGAGCCCAGCCATCCTGGCGTCAGGCTCTTGTCGAGTATTGGCACGCCTTGTAAGCAGTGTCAGTAAATGTTACCTGCGTGGTGACCATGTTATTGATGATGCTGTCTGAGGTAGTTTTGCTGTGGTGTTTAAAGAGCTGGATTATTTATTGCAGTAACTATACTACGTGGCATTGTGTGGTATCCCACTGTATATGTTATGCCTTGGAAATGTTGTCATGCAAACCTCAGAGTGTTTAATAGCCTGATGTCAACAACATGTGTATCCTACAGTGTCAGATTACAATGGTAAACACATATCACATATTATTTGAATATCTTAGTGTGACTTGGTTGCCCTGCCACCCCAAAAAGTGTTATGTTATATTTTTTTTAACTTGCTAGGCCATTTTCCTCCATCAGAAGTTGAAGTTTATTTGTATCTTATAGAGGCCAACTTTCTGCTCTTTCTTATTTTTCCTCTTCATTTTCTAAAGATACATACAATTTGACACTTGTTACCAAAATATTAAGTTCAAGTTCCAAAATCATTTTATTTTGATTTCTAGAAATGCTAAAATGGTGCCCATCTATACGTTGTAGTTGCCCTTGACATTTAACTGCAGCAATTATAGATACCTACCACAAATTCCCCTTCCCCCCTCAATGATTCCTCATACATAACATAGGAATGGCCCTACTGGGTCAGACCAAAGGTCCAGCTAGCCCAGTATTCTGTCTTCCAACAGTGGCCAGTGCCAGGTGCCCAAAGGGAATGAACAGAACAGGTAATGATCAAGTGATCCATCCCCTGCTGCTCATCCCCAGCTTCTGGCAAGGAGAGGCTAGGAACCCCATTCCTGCCCATCCTGGCTAATAGCCATTGGTGGACCTATCATCCATGAATTTATCTAGTTCTTTTTTGAACCCTATTATGGTCTTGGCCTTCACAACATCTTCTGGCAAGGAGTTCCACAGGTTGACTGTCCGCTGTGTGAAGAAATACTTCTATTTATTTGTTTTAAACCTGCCGCCTACTAATTTCATTTGGTGACCCCTAGTTCTTGTGTTATGAGAAGGAATAAACAACACTTCCTTATCTACTTTCTCTACACCAGTCATGATTTTATAGACCTCAATCATATCTCCCCTTTGCCGTCTCTTTTCCAAGCTGAAAAGTCCCAGGTTTATTAATCTCTCCTCAAACAGAAGCCATTCCATATCCCTAATAATTTTTGTTGCCCTTTTCTGAACCTTTTCCAATTCCAGTATATCTTTTTTGAGATGGGGAGACCCCATCTTCACAGAGTGTTCAAGATGTGGGCGTACCATGGATTTATGTAGAGGCAACATGATATTTTCTGTTCTATTATCTATCCCTTTCTTAGTTATTCTCAGCATTCTGTTCGCTTTTTTGACTGCTGCTGCATGTTGAGAGGATGTTTTCAGAGAACTACGCACAATGACTCCAAGATCTCTTTCTTGAGTCGTAACAGCTAATTTAGACCCCATCATTTTATATGTATAGTTGGGATTATGCTTTCCAGTATGCATTACTTTGCATTTATCAACATTAAATTTAATCTGCCATTTTGTTGCCCAGTCACCCAGTTTTGAGAGATCCTTCTGTAGCTCTTCTCAGTCTGCCTGGGTCTTAACTATCTTTAGTAATTTTGTGTCATCTGCAAATTTTGCCACCTCACTGTTTACCCCTTTTTCCAGATCGTTTATGAATTGTTGAATAGGACTGGTCCCAGAACAGACCCCTGGGGGACACCACTATTTACCTCTCTCTATTCTGAAAACTGACCATTTATACCTACCCTTTGTTTCCTATCTTTTAACCAGTTACCAATCCATGAGAGCACCTTCCCCCTTATCCCGTGGCAGCTTACTTCACGTAAGAGCCTTTGGTGAGGGACTTTGTCAAAGGCATTCTGAAAATCTAAGTACACTATATCCACTGGATCCCCTTGGTCCACATGCTTGTTGACGCCCCCAGAGAATTCTAGTAGATTGGCGAGGCATGATTTCTCTTTACTAAAACCATGTTGACTCTTACTCAACAAATTATGTTCATCTAGATGTCTGACAATATTGTTCTCTCCTCCACCACCCCTTTCCCCCCGTTTTGGGTGGGGAGATAACTTTTTTGGAGTGGGAGACCTGAAATCTTGCAGATGCCATGGGAAGCAAGTCTAAGGGGAAAAACTATTGAAGACAGTTGGCAGCTTTTCAAAGAGACATTACTATGAGCAAACTATCCCACTGCGTAGGAAAGATAGGAAGTATGACAAGAGACCACCCTGGCTTAACCAGGAGATCTTCAATGATCTAAAAATCAAAAAGGAGTCGTACAAAAAGTGGAAAGTAGGTCAAATTACAAAGGATGAATATAAAAAAATAACACAAGTACGTAGGCACAAAATGAGATCAAACTAGCTAGAGACATAAAGGGTAACAGGAAAGCATTCTACGAATACATTAGAAGCAAGAGGAAGACCAAGGACAGGGTAGGCCTGTTACTCAATGAGGGGAGGAAAACAATAACAGAAAATGTGGAAATGGCAGAGGTGCTTAATTACTTCTTTGTTTCAGTTTTCGCCAAGAAGGTTGGTGGTAGTTGGATGTCTAACAGTGAATGCCAGTGAAAATGAAGTAGGATCAGAGGCTAAAATAGGGAAAGAGCAAGTTAAATATTACTGAGACAAATTAGATGTCTTGAAGTCACCAGGGTCTGATGAAATGCATCCTAGAATACTCAAGGAGCTGACCGAGGAGATATCTGAGCCATTAGCAATTATCTTTGAAAAGTCATGGAAGACAGGAGAGATTCCAGAAGAGTGGAAAAGGGCAAATATAGTGCCCATCTATAAAAAGGGAAATAAGGACAACCCAGGGAATTACAGACTAGTCAGCTTAACTTCAGTATCTGGAAAGATAATGGAGCAAACAATTAAGCAATCAGTTTGCAAAAATTTAGAAGATAATAAGGTGATAAGTAACAGTCAGCATGGATTTGTCAAGAACAAATTGTGTCAAACCAACCTGGTAGCTTTCTTTGACGGGGTAACAAGCTTTGTGGATGGTGGGAAGAGGTAGATGTGGTATATCTTGACTTTAGTAAAGCTTTTGAAACTGTATCACATGACCTTCTCATAAACAAACTAGGGAAATGCAACCTAGATGGAGCTCCTATAAGGTGGGTGTATAACTGGTTGGAAAACTGTTCCCAGTGGTTCACAGTCATGCTGGAAGGGCATAACGAGTGGGGTGCTGCAGGGATCCATTCTGGGTCTGGTTCTGTTCAATATCTTCATCAGTGATTTAGATAATGGCATAGAGAGTACACTTATAAAGTTTGCGGATAATACCAAGTTGGGAGGAGTTGCAAGTGCTGTGGAGGATAGAATTATAATTCAAAATGATCTGGACAAACTGGAGAAATGGTCTGAAGTAAATAGGATGAAATTCAATTAGGACAAATGCAAAATACTCCACTTAGGAAGGAACAGTCAGTTGCACACATACAAAATGGGAAATGACTGCCTGGGAAGGAGTACTGCAGAAAGGGATCTGTAGGTCATAGTGGACCACAAGCTAATATGAGTCAACAGTGTAACACTATTTCAAAAAAAGCGAACATCATTCTCGGATGTATTAGCCGCAGTGTTGTAAGCAAGACACGAGAAGTAATTCTTCTGCTCTATTCCGTGCTGTTTAGGCCTCAACTAGAGTATTGTGTCCAGTTCTGGGTGCCACATTTCAGGAAAGATGTGGACAAATTGGAGAAAGTCCAGAGAAGAGCAACACAAATGATTACAGGTCTTAAAACATGACCTGTGAGGAAAGATTGAAAAACTTGGGTTTGTTTAGTCTGGTAAAGAGAAGACTGAGAGGGGGACATGATAACAGTTTTCAGGTACCTAAAAGGTTGTTACAAGGAGGAGGCAGAAGAGTTGTTCTTCTTAACCTGTGAGGATAGAACAAGAAGCAATGGTCTTAAATTGCAGCAAGGGAGGTTTAGGTTGGAGATTAGGAAAAACTTCCTAATTGTCAGGGTGGTTAAGCACTGGAATAAATTGCCTAGGGAGTTGTGGAATCTCCATCATTAGAGATTTTTAAGAGCAGGTTAGACAAACACCTGTGAGGGATGGTCTAGATAATACTTAGTCCTGCCATGAGTGCAGGGGACTGGACTAGATGACCTTTTAAGGTCCCTTCCAGTCCTATGATTCTATGATATTTAGTCTTTTTCCAGATGAGAATGTCTTGGTCAAATTAGAAGTTAGTCAGGCAAGTTGTTCTTCAGTTTTATATAGGGATTTGTGGAAAATATGGTTATATGACTCTGCAAATGGCTGAATAACTCTCCTCTTAGCTAAGGTGTTGCATAAAACTCAGCAAATGAATTCCTTTGATGTCCACCTTCCTGCTGTCTTCTGTAGCTTCATTGATTTTTAAGGCCAGAAAAGACTTATGATGATCTAGTCTGATCTCCAGCATAACACAGGACATAGAATTTTACCAAGTGAAATTTTTCAAGACCATAACTTCTAGCAGATCTACAGTGCATTGGTTGGAAACCCATCAACTTTGATTAAAAACTTCAACCGGTGGAGAATCCACCACATACCTAGGTAAGTTAATGGTTAATTACACTTATTGTTAAAAATGTGTACCTTATTTCTAGTCTGAATTTGTCCAGCTTCTCTGTCCAGCTCATTAATCTAGCTCGCAAAGGCGTAACAAGATCTAAAGAGCCCTCTACAGTCTATTGAACCTTATTCTATAAAACAAA